ATTTAAGAAATATAAATATTTCTTATAAAAAGAAGTTACAAACTGCCTACAGAATAACTGACTGGTTCATATCCACAAGAAAGGTAAGTGCGTTTTTTAGAGAATTAGGGATGGTCACTGGACAGCGGAAAACCAGAGAAGCAGCATGAATATGCAAAATGGTCGCATGGGAATAAAGTAAAAAAAAAATAGCATTTCTGAATTACATGTCAGGATGGGGTCAGCTAACTCAAATACTGTACCTTCAATTCAGTAATTTTACTTTGTACAATTTTAAATGCAACTGTACTTCTAATTTTATGAAAAATATAGAAGGAAGTAGTAGCGTCACAGAATAACATTCTCCTATTTCTACATGGTCCTAACGATGAATTCGGACATTTGCAAGCAGCCGGTCACATCTTGAAACGAAAGCTAACCTTGCCTTGCCAACACTTCAATCCTTGTCTTCCTGCCAGGGTGCCCCAGTTGTGCAGTAATGACCTGTTTTTCTGGAAGGTATAGGGCATGTACGAAGTTTTCCACACAGGTTACACAAAGTTCAAATACCTTTTAATCTAATACCAAGTTATTAATTAATACCCAATCTATTTAATTCACTGAGGTGTCTAGATGTTACACAGTCAACCTGATGTTCTAAGGAAGTTACCTGAAGTTTCTTGTGCTGCGCATGTAAAACATCATATGCATTTTTCTTTTCTTCTAAGGTTTTCTTAAGTTCAGCAACTTTTGCTTCCAAAACTTGTTTTTCATCTGCATTAACCTCTCCTTCTAACCGTGACAGCCGTCTCTGTACTTGCTGAATATAAAAATCCTGTTAAAATAATTTTTAAGAGAATTAATTGTCTGAGATAAGCAATCATAGCCTTTCTATAAAGCTAAAACACTGGATATAAACTTGGATCTAAATGTTGGCTTTAGGACAGCCACCCAATTAAGCTATTGTTTTATAATAATTTATGGCTTATAGACCTCATTAGAAAAATATTCTTAGACGACTGACGTGCAGTGATGGTTCAGGAGTAATCTTCTAGAAGGGTAACAAAGCGTGCTCAGCGCAGTCTGCTGTAGGGAGGCTTACAGTGGAGCTGCCATCTTGCTGTTACCAGTGGATGCTGATAGAAAAGAGCGAATTTTCAAAGTGGTGCATAGGAAATATGCACAAAATCCAATTAGTGAATAACAGGATTTTGGCATGTACCTCTTGTATTGCTTTAAAAATTTACCCTGAGGTGTCTGTGGTTCAGAGGGATCAAAGTAAAGAACTGATTTGAGAAATCAGTGGGAAAAGCAGCAGATCCAAAAAATAATGAAATACACAAGTGCATAATGTAGGTAATACTGTAGCAAGTTTCAGTTATTTCCATTTTATCCTACATCTAGAGACAGAAATAAATGCAGACTTCAAATTCTACTGCATGGCATTTCCAAAATGGTAAGATGTTGACAAAAATTACAGAACTCAAACAATTTACTCTCATTAGATCCAAGAAACAAACATAGTATGGAAGCCTATTAATAGTTTACCTGGTTATATATTAACTCTTGTTGTTTTAATACGTCTGCATCAAGTCTGTGCAGTTGACTCTTAAGATTTTTAAGTGACGTTCGACTTCCCTCGATTTCTGCTAGAACAGACTTCTCCTTATCTTTCTGCACCTTTAACTCTTGAGTCTTCCTGAAAAGTAGTTCTTTTAACTGGTCCATTTCTGTTTCTTTTTCCTGGTGACAAATTAATCATTAAGTAGTAAGAAATAATTAATCACATAAGAAGTAATTTCTGAGGAATTACTTGCCTTTATTAATCATATGTAGGAAGATTAAAAAATTTCAATACTACATCCATTAACATGAACACGGAATTTCCTAGCTCTTCAAAATGGTTGGCAAGAAAAGTCTCTGACTTAAAAAGTAATTTTTAAATTTTTTTTTATTTTTTTTTAGCTTGGATCCTACCCTACTATTGCATGACTCTCTTTTTTCCCATTATGGGAATGCTGCTCTTTTCAGCCTTTCAGAAAACTAAATTCCTGTCATCCTTTCAAAAAAACCCTCCTTATTGATTCCAGTATATGTCAATATTGGGAGAAACATAATACAAAGCTTTTCAATGGTTTATTAAAACTTGTAACTCTGTGTGTATGCACATGTATGTACGTATGTGTGTTTCTATAGGTTGGAATAATTTTGTTTGCAAAATTAATTACCCATTTTAAAATCATTTCCTTATTCTCAGAGGTAAGTTGCCATCAGCACCTGAACCAGTGCAGGCAATGAGGTTGTAGTAGGGTCTGTTACGGTAAGACAATGCTGAACATTTCAGGTTACCTGAAACGTACTGAAAACAAACAAAATTGAGATTGTTTTCTTTCTACAACCCTAACAAGGAAGACAACTTTATTCTCTCTCTTCCTCCTTCCACACGCCCTCCCCCGCCAAAATAACCCGAGGCCTTCCAAAGCTCAGGCCGTTCAGCGTGCTGGTTTCCCGTAAGGTACGTCTCTGAAATGAGTGATGTGGCATCACGAGCCTGTTCCAAAAGACTCATTTATGTTTAGCTGAAGTCTGGTACAGAGTTTGAAGGTGCACATTAAAATTAATATCGCAAAATACCTTAGAATTACCTTTTCCACATTGATTAAAAATGTGCTTATTCTTGATTTTAGATGTATACATTGTGAAATTTGCTTCTAAACTATCTTGCTGGCTTTAATAACAGTGAAAAAGAACTCCTTCTCTAGGAGTTCATCCTTACATTCTACCAAAGAGAATTTGTTTGTACTTGAACTTGCTGTAAGTGCAATGCCAAATCCAAAACTCAGGAAGTAAAAAGCAGGTGTAAGTTTAATGTGAAATCATTACAGCCTGTAGCATTTTACACTGATGTCAGTAGGCTTTGGATCATGCCTGAAAAAAGGAATTAAATTTCGGAAGTAAACTTTTTATGCATGTGCCCAATTCTGAGCTGCATCTCTGAAGCTTATGACAATGATGAATTCGTCTCCTAAAACTGGATCACGATTTGACCTTCATTTCCTAGTCTTTCTTGCATATCTAAATTAATTTATTTAATAGAAATTGTTTCTCTCCCTTTAAGTGAGGCTGTTAATAGAGAGATAAGATATTCAGTAAGCTTCACTGTGCAACGGCATTTTGCCACAGACTGGAGAGGGAGAAGTATCACAGAACGAAAGCACAAAATGGTGACATTTCATTCACATTGTTCCTGTAAATATCTCTTCACAGTAAATTAATAGATGCAGCAAATAACCATGCGTGTCTAATGGTGATGGAAAGCATGCTTCTGACTAATACATTACAGACATTGTTCAAGAACAGTTCATCCTAGTTAAAATACTGCCCTGGAGCTGCGGAGCTGCCAAGCTCAGTGTCATCTTAGGTTATCCGCCACAGACGCAAGTAAGGAAACCCTGCTAATGGTTTAGCCACCCTGGTAACAGCCTTAAGGGGAAGCAAATCAGGTTTTCGTTTTAATGAAATGTTATATCATTACAACTTGTTTTCAAATTATCTGAAAAACCAGAACAGTAAGGAAGGCCTGTAATTTAAGAAACTCTCTACAAAGGAAAGACATCCCCTCTCTAGTTTCTGTATGTGTATTTTAAATGTACAGTTAATGCCTGTGGAGTTAACGAGCCTGAAAAATAACACTCATTCTACTTGTGTGGGAACACCTGCCATCACGTTAATTTGACCTGGTCGTTTTGCAGTAAAGAAAGCTTCAGCATATCCAATACTCAATTGTCCAGCAGAATGTAAAAAAAAAAAAAAAAAATTTGTATCAAGTTCAGTCAGAAGCTAAGTAGTAAAATACTTTAAGAGAATTAGCAGCAAAATGACAAAGCAGTAGAAACATTTTCTGAAATGCAGCAAAGTTCAGATGATTGCATTACAACATTGCATTTATTCAAAAGCCCTTTGCAGTTCATCACATGATAATGACTGAGGTATTTTTATTCCTATACTTAATTTGCAACATAAGTGGGTTTTGATTTAAAAAAGTATTATTAGACATGTTAAAAAAAAATAGTCACTGTATTACAGCTCGTACATGCCACTTCCCAGATCAAAATCTTTATTCATCATGAAAATGAAATCTAAAGTGGGCCAGTAATTATTTAATAGTCCCCAACAAGTTAGATGTGTCAGAGTATCATGTAGTAGAATTAAAATACTGAAGAGGAGACTAGGCCAGCCAAATCTGATTAAAAGATTTCAAAATGTTTTTTAATCCCAGTTTGCCAAAATCATAGCTTTTTGCAGGTTTGTAAGTTTTGGTGGTGTTTTACTAAAGCCAAGAAGCTTTCAGTAGTAACGCTACTGAAAAGTAATCCTGACAAGATTCTCACCCTTCAACAACCTTAGTGATGGAAAACTGATAGAAGTTCAAGGACCTTTGCTCCTCAGCAGCCCATAAACCACAACGTTGAGAGACAAACTCCCCAAAGAGCTAAGCAAAATACAAGGTTTTGACATTTTTCACTATTGTTACAAAGCAGAAGCAAAACATTACTGTATCTTTATTATAAAATTTGCCATGTTGCAGTAAATAACTTTTATTTCAGTCTAGCCAAGAAGTTGTAAGTAGCTTTTAGGTGATGTCAGAGGTAACAGCCCGGGTCAGTACACTGATGCAGTCAGGATACTGGTTTTACACCCGGATGAGTACAAAGTTCCAGTATCCTATGTTAATGCATGGGGACACCATCTTCTGAATTACTAGGACCACTTATGTTCCTCCAGAGTTTTCCCAGCACAGATACTGACACATCTACATGCACGTTACTTCTTCATTTGATGAAATAGCCACATGTCATATTAATACTTACATTCCATTTGAATCCACAAATGTTTGCTCCAGATAGAGTTTGCAAATTCAAATGAATCCTCATTTGCAGAAACCATGAAAAATTTTACCTTGACAATTTTTTCGTCTTCCTTTAGTATTTCTTCCATCCTCAAAGCTTTGTCTTCTGAACTGAGTGTCTCCTCAGTCACAACCTTCAGCTTATTGGAAAGACTCGCATTTTTTTGTTTAAGAAAGCTTAATCTGAAGAAAATTACATGATTTAACAAGTTAAATACAAGTTGCGTATACCACACTGCCAAACCCAAGCAACACACCTTACTGAGCAGTTGCCTAATAAAGCAGGCTAAGCTTTAACCTATGATAACCAAGGCCCTAACTGATTTTTTTTCACACCCTTTAAAACCAGGGATTACCAGGAATATTTCCTAAATTGCCCACTGCCAGAAACTATGCAGGACATGAAATAACCAGAAAGTTGGAGGCTTTAATCATCAACCTTATTTAAGGCTCTTTGCTAGCTCAAGGATTTGATTATATTACTAATCCTTACAAATCACATTTTAAAATGTCTGTTTCTTACCTGGCTTGTTTTTTTTGACTTTCTTTCTTCAGATTGGTTGCTTGTGTTCTCAAAGACTCTAGATCCGAAGCAGTTCTGTCCACAGTGGATTTCAAAGCATCCAGCTAATAAATTACAAAACGGAGCAATTAAGCTGCTCTTTACTTTGGTACATGCCAGGATATTTAAAATTGTAAGGGACCTATTTATTGGAAAGCATTCAGTTTCTTTTCAGCAGTGTTTTCCAAATGAGAAGTGCTGCAACTTCTGAGGTGCTGTAAACCGGCACAGCTGGTAAACTCAATGGGCTAATTCACATAATCTTACATAATACCGGGAGAAAATACTCCATAATGAATACAGAACAAATTATGAAGGTGCTATGGGCTGCAATTCTCGTCCCACAGCATCTGTGTAAGTGGAACCACGGTTTTCTAGAGCACGGCTGACTTTGATGAGGTTCATTGTGACCACAGATACCCTTATGTATCTACTAAATATTTCTAATTCAAACTTTGTTGGGTACATAAAATTATTTTGATTAAGATAAGAGAACACTGTGACAAAAATACACGGGCATTTAATTTGGTAAAAAATACATGACAGCATACACATTAAACAGGATAGGAACACTTTACAATCAGTAGCTCATTAGTCTTCACAGTATCACTTAACAGTGTAATTGTCTTCACTTTCACAGATGACGAAACCCGATCAAGGGTATATACAGCAGGTCTCTCTCTGTACCAGAACAAGAAACTGGGAGGTCACAAGTTGTCAGCTGAACTGTAAGTCTGTTTCTTTCCTTGTTTCTCACTTGCATGCCACAGATGTTCTAACACCGAATAATGGGAGACTGTTCTCATTATCACATTATGTAGTATTAATTGTGGAAAAATGTCAAGCAAGAATCTCACGGCTTAGAGATGAAAACCTACCAATTCTGTGAACCCTCAAGTCTGCATAAATTATAGGGTAATGTAATAGCCTACATCTTGTTTGAGCTACCTACAGTTTAATTAGGATATCAGTTTATAAACTACCTACTGCAGAAAAGCTATCCAAAGTTAAGGCAACAGCAGATGCAGGTTTTGGTTTTTTTTTTTTTTTAAATCACCAAGCTTGCTGAGTAGCCCTGTGTTACCATTTTCTTGTTAAGAGAAAACTTACTCAGGTAATACGAGTGTGTCCCTTCCCAACAGAGCCATGAGACTTTAATTACCTCTTAGAAATACTTCTACAGGCATTTAAGTAATTAAGCAGTACAGCTCATTCCTAGCTTTAAGTGCAGATTAAATATAAGTAGCAGAGTAAGTACGGGCAGCATCAAGCAGCCCTATCCTACTGCCTCTTGATTAGAAAGCCATGTGAAAGTGTTTGGGTTTTTTCCCCAAGAACTTTAACCTGCCTACAAGGGCCATCAACACTCACTTCTGAGACCACAGGACAGGAATCGTTTGGAATCCAGAAGAGATTTCTCTCATCTTTATACAATACTGCAGCCTACATATGCTAAAGGCAAGACATACCTCTTTCTGAAGCATCTAGTGTTAGACCACGTAAGAGAAAATTCATGCATTTTATACCAACACAGAGAACACAAGCTGATCTCTTCACTGCTATCAATGAAAGGATTATGGGGAAAGATCCCAGTAATCATGAGTAGACTGAGAAGAGTGGACATTTTGTTGAATTATTAAGAGTCTAGTATAAAAACAGAGAAAAGCAAACGCTATTCCTGTATTTCCTCCATCCAGTCAAAAGTTAGAGTTAAAAGTTATGGTTTCAGTCTGTTTTTCTGAACTGTTTGGTCATCCTTACCTCATCCTGCAGCCGAACTCTGTAAGTATCCTGAGTTCGATACTCATTTCGGAGGCTGGTAGCTTCCCGTTCAGCTGAAGAAATTTTCTTTTCGTATTCCATATTATTAAGAGTTTCATTTACCAAAAAGGAAGTTTTCTCTTTCAGCACAACTTCTTTCTTTCTGATCTCCTCTTTTATCTCTGTTATTAGCTATCAGCATAAAAACATTTTAGATTTGCTTGCATTAGTTAAGATGTGTTAGATTAATAAAGGGTACAACCAGAAGATAGACTGCTGTTAAGACTACTCTTTGCATGAGATAGCCCAGTTATCACATCATTCTTAAATTACTTTATTCCACTAATACATCACAACACCAAATACTACAATTGTTTCATATTGGAAACTTCCAAAAGATTTCAGCAATTTCAAAAAAACATGTCACTATAAACTTGCATGAAATAAAAATAATTTTTGATTGACTGAATAGGAAAAAAAAGAGCTATGTGAACAAAACTTCAGATAGACTTGAAATGGACGAAATGCAAGGGAGAATTACTAGCAGTAGTGATGCTTACTTTAGCTGACAGATTTATAGCTATTCAGTGAAAACTGTGTGTTTTGAAAGGTTAAGTGAAAGATTAGCTACTGGGAAAATCATATTGTAGTTCTAATGTTAAAAAAAAATCTGTTTACAAAAGCATCAGTAGGACTGTTCTATGGACTACTAATATATGGAAGGCTGGCCAGAGCTGGGGCTTTGTTGTTATTGGGGTTTGGTGTTTGTTGTTTTGTTTTGGTTTTTAATATCTGCTTGGTGTTTGCTCTTTGCACGAATCTTCTGACCTGAAATACTATGAAATCCAAAATATTTCAGCTAAATTAGACCACTATATTTTCTGTTGGGTAGTATTTCTTCTGGCTTGTCATCTTCTATTATTACATTTTTTTTAGTGTTATATCTTAAGCCTGTTTAAACCGTGTTTCTGCTAAGGGTATACCTAATACTCATATGGGCAACGTAACAAAGCTGATATTCT